AACTCACTGCTTCAATGATGATGATGGTGATGAATCGAGGGGGTCTCGAATGCGAGTTTGGGTACGAGAGAGCCGTCGTCGTGGAAGTTTTGATGACATCTCAGGAAATATTTTGGTTCCTTCCTGCTCTCCTCTGAATTCTTACGCATTGTGCGTCTCAGAGTAGTTCGCACATGTGATGAGACTGTGGATTCTTGTCTGGTCATCGATTTCTTAGGCTGAGGGTAGAATAAAAGTCAAAATGCAGGAAAGTTGAATGAAAGGAGTTGAGGAAAGAGTTGTGTTTTATGCATGGAATGTCTATTGACATGCCCTTTGACTGTTTACTTACTGTGTAGGTCCAACCTCCAACGACTGTGGATCGATAACGAATACGGAAGCTGCTGAATTCCACGGCATCATAATTTGCACCCGTTGTTCCGTCGAGCAATCGTGTTGATGTGAATTGGTGCCGCTACGCATTCATCAGTGCTTGGCGTGCGTTGTTTACGCTCTGCCTCAGCACAACAGATAGTGTCTACAGTTGACCTTTGATGTGGAGAGGTTCAAAAACGTGTCCGTTGAGGGTGGAACTTCTGTCTACTTGTTCAGAGTGTGAATACATTTTTTTGCGTGTCTGGCAATGCATATGATTTGAGGCATAAGAACCCCACCATCTGCTTGTTTCACGTCTCTCGAAGTTGTCCATTGGGTTAGCGAGGCATTCCGCAATGCCGGAGAAGGGGGAGGAGGAGGCTGGATTGGCGTAGTCGTTGTTGAACTCGGCATTCACGGAGTGTGTTTGGTGGCTTTAGATGTGATGCCGCCTGACGAGTTCTGTGCGCGGTGCGACAACTCGGCGTACACGAATGCGGCGGCGTTGACCGCTGCTCTCGCCGGTCCAGCGAGGATGTCGCGTCTCTTTCGACGCGACGTCACGGCCTCGCAGAAGGCGTGGGAGGATCTGTCGCGCTAGATTTGGAAGCCGTTTGGTGCCACTAACAAGGTCATGCTGGAGTACGAGGGATGCGAAGGCGGTAGGTGGTGGTTGAGCAGTGTTGTGGTGCCTATTAACTGCTTCTGTAAATGCACATTCTTTTTTGTTTTTTAGTAATAACAAACATCAGGAAATACAATCCCCCTAAGCTACCATCTCATGTATCCTCAGCTTAAAACTACAAAGGCACGAATGACAATTTTACTACTGCCATCAGCGGCAATCTACTTATCTTATTGACGCTATTCGAAAAGTCGATATTAAGGCATTTGATGTGTTCAAAATTTGCACGAATTGTGACGACATTTTGAGTTACTGGACACACAAACTGTGAGCCAATGAGAGCTCATCAATGTCTATTGGCTGTCTCTGTTACACAACCAATGCCATCAGATACTTTTGTAACAAAATGCCAAAATTTATTTCAAGGTACTCATATTTTATGCCTTTATGTTCCGGAAACCTTTTTGGCAGTGTCATGCCAAAAATTAACTGCATTTTTTTCAAATCCCTACACATTTGTAACTAACTAAATAACTTTAAAAAATATTATTTTTTATCCCTTGTTGCTAGGACTCAAACATTTGAAAGATGGCACCCACAGTGAGATTTTATCATGTCTTTGGCGCCATGAGTAGCATTTCCACATTCATTCACCATGATCATGCTGCAACTGTATTTCTACACGTCTCATGCATTTAAACAAATCACCTGTGTAAAAAACAGCACCTTGTTTTTTTCCTTGTCCATATTGGGGTGGCAAATTTTGAGGTATGCTTGGTAAAATTTAAATTCCCACAGCGTTCTATTTGACTTAACTCAGAAGTACGGTAGCAAACCAAAGGAACGCGTTGATTGGTTTGTTTGATAAACCAATCGATTAGGTTTCGTATTAGTCAGTAATATTTGGTGTAGACGTGCTAATTGGTAGCAGAGGTTGATGAGAACCCTGGCATGTTCTCCTGACGCTGCACTAATCAAGAAGATTACAGATGCCAAAGATTCAGCTGTTTGTCACGTGGCTCAAGGTATATGTGATGCTGTCGTGTAGACGTTCAAAGTCGACCTTGACTAATGAAATGTCGACTAATACATTTTTAGTGAAATGAATGGTCAGATGGGTGAAACTAGGTAACTGAGGAGGTACATGCAAAGGGATGGACAAAATAACTGTACACTCAACAAAACATTATTGGCGACTTTGATCGTAGTAACCAGGTGCGTCCTGAACAGCAGCCTCGAAATAATGAAGATGCGGAATTGCACGATTTGTTGGATGAAGACTCAACGCAAACGAAAAGCGAGCCTGTAGCTTAATTGGGAGTTATTTAGAATCCTATTTCACCTACAAAATTAAGAACTTGAAAGGTGGTCCCACATGTATTTCACTGCTACCTCAATGGTAACGGCAAAGAAATACTTATGGGAAGTTATGACAGGAAGTTTATTTTGGTCGAGACTCCTAAATGTTAGGCATCCCAGTACATCGACGCCAAAACAGGACATCCACTTGAAGAAGAGAGTTATCTTCTGTATCTGGTGGAACGTGGAGCGTGTACTCAATCATGATCTGCTGGAAACTGGTCTGATGGCGACCGTGGAACGCTGCAGCCGTCTATTGAACAAACTGAGCAAAGCACTTGATCCGAAAGGGCCATTTACTGGGCAAGGAAGTAAGGAAGAAAGTCAAACCACTGCAAGACAGCGCTTGACCTCGAGTAGCTTGCACGACTCTGAAAATCATTTTGAACTTGTGATGGGATGCTCTCTACACGCAGTACATTCACCAGACTTGGCTTCATTGGCCTTAGTGGACGATGTGCGTAAATTCGTCGTCGATGACTTCCATGCCTTGAAGCTTGGAATTTTCTTTCGCGACGACTTCGTTCTTTCTGTGCAAGGTCACAGAAAACGAGGGATAGTATTTTCAGGATTACGTTTGCTGCTCTCTATATTGAACATTAAATAAATTTTCTGAAATATCTCCATTAATTAAGTCACACACCTAATACCAGTTTGTGCATAAGATAGCGAGTTTTCGTTCATAAAAATCTCGCGGCGATGCCTGAATTTCCAAGTGAGGAGTCGGTATTTCAACGCTCATCTTTTCGTTGCAATTTCAGGTTACCTCACTGAACAGCCCTGCAATGACGTGGACGATGTTCTACATTTGCGCCATGGACGTCGACGTGAGTTGACGCATTATCCACGTACTAGCTCAGTTTAATGCAGTATCTAACAGCTTTCGTCATTTATCCTTTCCGAACAGTTACTTGATCGAGCTGTGGAATACTTCAATCGCTGCCTTTTGAATTGCCAGATGCCTTTTATGTAAGTAATGATGTGTTGATTGACATGTTTATGAGACCAATTCAGTGTCACTAAAAACAGCACAGCGTCAGTTTGGATTGGTGGAATAATCTGACTGCTAGGATGCAACATAATCGATACTGCACCGTTTATTCTTGTTTGTTATTTTCCCATGAACACTAATGCACAATCTCTGCTTAATTCTTGAATTGCTTTACCGACAAGAATATTACCTTTACCCGTGAGCATCCTTACATTGCTTGTGTGGGTTGGTTATGTCCAAGGTTTGGACTGAACACCGTGACAGGACGGGAGCAATCAACTTCATCACTGGGGCAGGCGGTTTCTTGCAGGCAGTGGTGAATGGATTTGCAGGAATTCGTGTTTGCACACCCGCCATCTCAGGTGTCAATGTTCCAGCGCTCTTCATCAATCCGAAATTGACGATTCCGACGTTGTCCGAGGGGGAGCCAGAGAGGAATGTCCTGCACATCCAGGGAATCTCGTTCCTCGGACGCAAACTAGACGGCATACATCGCGTGGTCACGATCACCTTGGAATCGGGCAACCCGGTGGTCGTGATACGAGCCAATCCTAGTGATCCCTCAGAGGTGAATATGGATGAGCAGAAAGTTATGCGTGCTGGAAAAAAAATCGATCTCAAGAATCAATTAGTGAGCGACCTTGAGCGACTTGTTTCCCTAGTGAACCATTTAGTGTTATTATGTTGTTTCGTAGTCTTCAGTCGTTTCAACGTTTCTGAGTATCCACGTAGCCTAATCGGATCGATATCGGGACTGGTCATCTGCTTAGTGAACGCAATATTTTGACACAAGGACAACGTCAGACATTTGTAACGACGTGACAACCGCTCTTTTAACCCTTATATCAGAAACTTCTAGAACTTGGTCTGCGCCAAAAAAGCTTTTGAGTGTTTTTCGTTTAGCGCCTATTGAAAAATTGAAATTTAAACAAACGCTTAAGTTGACATTGCCACGATACAAAAAACGTTTGCAAATGTTGTGTGTTTGAATTAAAACGAATTAAATTCCTTCCTTATTACTAGATAATGTGTTATCCAAGCCACGTAAAACCAAACTTATTATGCAAAGGAAAGTAGTACGAAAATTAAATTCTGGACAGGACTCTGATAATTACTGGCTGTACCACTACTAGCCAAATTTCTAACTTGCTACAAATGTTGCTATTTTTGAACCAACAAGCACAAAAAATAGCTTTGGTGTGGTTTCTCAATTGTTAATTTTTAAATTTTGTTTAAAAACTGACCAAATAGGTACAATAGTTAGTGGTTATACTTATTTGAGCCACTTTTAAGTGCTTTATTTTAATGTTTAATCTAACACTTTTGAACGATTATATTCCGTGAGAAACTTTTAAGGTACTTATTTCAAAAACCAATAGCTTGAGAGCAAAATTGCGCCATTTTCAGTCAGCGTCTTCCGCCAACCACAGCCACAAAGGTGACGCCCATTTTCTCATAACTGCCACGCTGCTGACTGCGATAAAACCGTGAAGTCCAGCGGTGAAGGAAGTGTTTTAGTGTTTTGCAAGGCAAAAAACTTTAAGACTTAGGAATTGCACTGTCAATAACTTGCTTGTGGCAGCATTGGTAATTTAAAATGCCCACCTGATGGTTGACTTAGATTAACAAAAATAAATTGTACCAATTTCAGGCATGTTGGATCATCCGTCTGAATGAGGATGCAATGATAACATCGTGTAAATTAGTTCTAGTGTCATATGATTCTGTCAACCAATCAAATTTTTGATTTCGGTTTATTCTGTAAACGGCGAGAAATGTCGTGTTACTTGGTATTCAATTTAAATAATTATCCTCACAAATTCAATGATTTCACCTCTAAGGAGCAAACATGCCATTTGGACTAAAGCCTTAGTTGCGAAAAATAGCAAAGAAATGTATTAATTTCAAAAAATTAGATTGAATTGAGGAGGTGTGTTTTAATTGGCTCGGACCGCTAAACATGCCGTTGACAGCGCGCGCTGCGAACAGAATTCAAACTGGCGCTCAGCCAATCCGCCTGACCACGAAAACAAAGACTGAGCAAATAGATAACTATCAGGTTCCTTAAAAACTTTAATTTGAAGATTAGGAAATCAGTAGAAGTCTGTGTTTTTTGCAAGCAACAAGTTAATTTTGCAGGGAAATTGTCTGCCTTCCCTCACTGACGCTTCCGGTTTTCGTGCCGCGCGACTATTTTTTTATCTCACTCTAGTTTCTCCTGGCATATGAAACTTAGAGGCTTAAAAGTGAATCAAAAGTCATGCAGTGCCATTTCCTCCATTTCCAAAATTGATTGGACAATTAATGCCGCAATTCTGATTGGTTGATTTGCCATCACCACAAAACAGTACGAAGTTCAAAGTAACTTTGTAAAGTTGGTTGTTCTAGTTAAGATATCAAATTTGACAGAAAAGTGATTTAACTGCACGTAGTTGTTTATTATACACAGAACTAGTCATGAAATGTGGACTAAAATTGTCCTTCTGTGCGTGGTTAATGCAAAAAAAATTGTATGATGTGAAAATTTAGTCAATTCCTTGAAAGTGTCTGCTTTTAAATATGAAAACCCAATTTGTTGTTCTTGAAAGTCCATTTAATAATTTTAAAAATTATGATTTTCCTTGTTTAAACGATAAGAAACCTTCAGACAGCTTAGATAAGTCGGTATGTTGTCTTATCGGGAAACGTACAAAAATTCACAACCAATCAATTCAACGCTTTAGCTAAACTATCCAATCAACTGAAATAATTTTGCTTTAATGCCTACTTAAGTGGGTCACTTTTTAAAATAATTATGTTGTAACTGCCCTCAATTCTTTACAGTATTCGCTCGATCATTTTGCTTGTTCATTTAAAAAATGACAATTTGCATCGCAGCCTTATTTTGGGAAAACATTGTTAGCAAATTTCTCATTTCTGGATACGGAAATCACTCGTTACACTAAATCTTGCGCTATTTTTTTACCTAAAATATGTGGTTTTCTTAATTTGTATTGGCGATTAAATTGCTAACGCGTTTAAATTCATTTTGATTCATCGATTGTCAATAAAATAAAGTAGATAGGCCATTTCTGTCCGCCAAAAGTAGTTTGCACTTGGTCGGCTCGCATCACTTGCTTTAATTCTGATTGACCCGCTACGATGGCAACCGTTTCCGTGCCAACCAGCGAAAAATGCTGCAAACGTCATGACAACTAATTCTTTGTTTGCGGAGATTGGCGAGCAACACTGGCGTGATTTCTGCCTTTTGCTTTTGTACTTTTCCTTCAGTGGACCCTCCGATTTTCCGGCAGAAGCATGTTGGTACAGGCCATCGTTTAAACATTACTTTTTGTCATTTTCGTGAATTTTTAATACACTTTAGTAAGTCATTCAGTGCTGTCTGATAAGAGCAATAAGTTGTTCATTTCTGGATTAAATTAGAGGGCCAAAAGACCTCGAAAAAGAGGGTAAAATTGCTCATCTTTGTGGTAGGTTGAAAAAAGAGAACAGCTAGAAGCCAGTATTAAAAAAATTGTGGGGATTTAGTGAGTGGTCCGCCAGAATCAACTCACAACTGTAGAGGAATTTCGCATTAAACCAATCAGATGCAAAGCATCAAGGACAGAACACCAACCCAGTTCTGATTGGCTAAACATCCACCAATGTCTGACAGAGAGAAAGTATTGCCTAATTTTTAGTGGCTGAAATCAGAAAGGCAAATAGACAAATGATCTTCATTTTCAACTTGTGTTCTCTGCAAGAAGTAAGACTGCAGTACAGTTGTTATCGAAACTTGAAATCAGTAGTTTTGACCTTCACAATGTACTTAGTAGTAATACTGACATTTCTAGATTGGTAATTAAGATTGGTTTCTTGTAACATGTTCGATCTCTAAGTCAGTAAAAAAACGACAATATGACGCAGGAAGCCATATTTAAACTCCAATATCTGTAATGGACACCAAACACGTTTAGTGTGTTTCACGAAAACAGGAATGGTAGTTAAGTTAATGCTTTTTAAATAACATTAGCTTAAATGGGTAAAAAGTTATTTTGTACAGTTACGATTTTTGATTAAATGCTTATAAAACCGACTAATAGTGGCACAACTGATTCGTAAAAAAGTAAAACGATAAAAAACCTGGTGGCAGATATGCAGGTACAATGTGTACTTGTAAAGGTTACACGAGTATATTGGCCGATGTCTAGGAGTCAGATTAGCGAAAGCGATGCATAGCTTGGAGTGGATTAAATTCACTGCCAAATGCAATGAATCTACGTATTTAAACAACGGTAAATATTCAGCGCAATAATTTTTCTGCCAAAATCTTGAGTGGGAAACGTTTCCTATCCTTGCTGGAATTTCGCATTTCGAGCAACGGGATTGGTCACAAATTCTACACACACAATATAAAAACACACTTTTCCAATGGTTCTGTAAATATTCTAATTGCCTTTTAGTCCCTTGGGATAATTTTAGTTTTGTGTCAAACTCAAAAATTACTTTTATCAAAATTAGACCATTCTCTGTGTAAGATAACCAGAAATATCGATTTTTTCCGCTGGCCTTAATCTAATGCCAACCATTAAATCTGATCTTAAGCAAAAATTTAGAAATTTTGACTTAAACTTTGTGCTAATAAAAATAAATCGCTAGCTTGTTTACGAACTCTGAGCCTGGCTCCTTTCTTTGCCGTTTCCTTTCAATTACAATAAAGATGTGACAAAATAGCAAAGCAAACTGCACCGTTTTTCTCATCACGCCGAGCTAGTTTAAATACGATTGACTTGTTTAAGTGAGGTGGGTCGTGTCGCTAACCAACCAATTTCTTTCTAAAAGTGCATTTTGCTATTTATTGCTTGAAATGTCTGCAGTCCAAGAAATCCTTTTTGTCTTCAATTAATTAATAGTTATTTGCAGCCAAATTATCTAAAACTGCATTGTTCGAATTATTATCCGAACATTGTAGATATGTTTGCCCTAGATACTAATAAATATGTTGTGAATAGTATTTGTTCACATCCCTTAATCCGCTCGATCCACCTCCGACACAGGGTTCCCCTTTTCGCAGCATGTCGCCAGCCCCGCGGACCCTCAACTCTCACCTCATTCACACGAATATTTTTCTTGGATTATCCTCACGCCTAGGTCTCGATGTTAGCGCATGTATGACTCACACATCTGAGGTATAAATACACACGCGCAAACCCTACGCACGACACATCGACACCAACTTGGATGAGCTCGGCAGTAAACGGTTGTGTCCACGTCCTCTACGGCCTTTTTCCTTCGTCGCGAGTATCAGGAAAGCGTAATCGGATCAGGGTTAATTTCGTGGCCCCGGCGTGGTTCAAGACCACATGCTGGGGCTCAAAAAAATCAGTTATGTTGGTCGAGCATTCAATTCCTAGGCAAATCGAATGCCTGATTTCGTGAGACAAAATAAAGCCAATTTACTTTCTCGATGAAAAAAATATTTTCTGAAGTTGGAACGTGCCTTAGCAAACTTCTGGCAACTCTCCCGATCTCGACTTCAATCGTTAATTGCCAGAGGCCATTAAAGCGCATCACGTATAACTCGGGTACATTGCGATGATTTGGCAGTCATTTGAAAATAATCAGAAGCAAATTGACGTTGTATAAAAGTTGCTTGAAAAGCCTGGGAAAAAGAGGTCACAGCCCACTTTAAAATAGGCAACCTATTTGCTGAAAGTGAGCCAATGATACTAAAGCGGTCTGTATGAATATAAAACACTTGTGGACGAAAATGCAAAAAATAGAGAATACATGCACAGTTTCTTTACATAGTTACTATCAACAGCCGTTTAAATGCACACCAACATTCGGATTCATATTACCCTCCTTCTTCCTATTGGCGAATGCACCTTTGAGTATACTATTACTCCTACTCATACCCTAAGATAAATGGACGCCTGTAAACGTGCCCTTAGCCTCTCTCTGAGACAGTAAAATCTGTGTCGTGTTTGCCAGGGGTCCCTCTGACTCTTACATACTTTGTCCAGGTGCTAGTGTGGAATTAAGCGTTAAGACAAGGGACTTGGTAATTTAATCTTGGATTTTTGCGTCTGTGGGATAGAAACCATTTCGCTGTCTGCATCGAGCAGAATTTTTAGTCATGTTTAAGATGGTCTTGTCCCGACAAAATGTCTCTCACGTCAGTGCTGCTTGCAAAATTCACAGAAAGGAATAAAGATAACTCGGTAAGGAAATGCGAAACTAATCGCAAGTCATTTATAAGCATGTCTAGATGCAGAATGTACAGAGTGAACATAAGTTTAATTTCTTGCTAATAGAAAAACTCGCAGGCCGGATCATTTTGGCATGTATTAAAACAGGTGAGTTCTCTTAGATTCCACTGTATGCAACTCCTTTTTTAATACATGTCAAAGTCACTTTTAAAATCAGAAAGAGTAATCACCACTGACTCATCACCTGATGGTAGCTAACTCGTTACAAAATCAACTTCGTTCACGTAAATGTGTTAAATACAGTGGATTATAATAAGACATTTTTAATTGGGTTTTCTTTTAGTGATGTTGAAACGGTCAAACTTACTTGGAAGTTCTGAATAAATTGTTGCTGGTATACTGTAAATAAGGAAAAAACAAAACTCCCGATATCATGTATTGATGTTGATTTCCAGACTGCGTTCAAAAATAAAGGCAGACTGGGGGAATTTCACAAAATCCTTCTTTGGAATGTTGATAGTGGATAAAATAGTGCCCCATATATGAGATCTTATGTCTTTGTATTGAGACACAAAGATTACAGACACCACGATCACTTCAATACAAGAAGCCTTTCTACTAATAATAATGCCCCCACTCATCCATTTATATTTATAATTATTTAATTTTATGTGTATAATCGAATATTGTTGGTCTATTTTACAGTCGTGAAGGACTACATTTTTTCATATTACATATGACAGCGTATATAATGCCAAAGCTGCTACACCCTATCTTGATAAGAGCTATTGTAAATGTTTCTAAGGTAATTATATTTAATTTGTTTTTTTTTTATCGTCAAAAAATTTTTGCGCTATACTAAATTTCAGGCAGCTAAAAATTTCTTATGTGTATTTTTGTCTGTTTAAATAAGTTCGGTTGCTTAATGTATTTATAAGATAATAACTGGCAAACAACGCCACAATGAACAAGATCAAGAGTGAGAAAGTTTCCACATTACTCGAAATCTCTGATATGAAATGTTCGGAAATATTGCACGTATTTTGATAAACAGTAGACATTAAAATTAACAACCATAGCTAAAGTTAAATGTGGTTTTCTAAACAGAGAACGCTCGTGTTTAAGTAGAGCAATTAGGAGTGACCTATCAAGTGGTTAGTTCGCACACTGCTGCTTCAATAAACCAAGGCAAAATTGCCATTGGTTGTTACCGAAGGCGGGCCTAGAGCGCCTCAAATTAGTTCCTCCAGAGTGTTCTCTAAGCAGAATATGGCGTCAACTCATGATTCGGATGTGCAATATGAGGATGAACATGGCGAATTTACCGGTTTGTCGTTTGTACTTACTGTAACGTGATTAGTACGGCGCAGGAAGATGGCCGCGCCTTCAAAACCTGCGAAAGGTGTGAGAAAAGAACCCAGACCTCGTAGATCCCAACGGTTATGGCTTATATTCCCACTTGGCGCCATCTTTTGGGTCATGGCGTGTGCCTTGTCCGAATCGGCTATCGATCCGGTTCCAATCACGTTCCCTGCTCGTGTGCCAGACGTCAATCTGGATGATCGTCTGTCATCAGCTGCAAGGATGTTTGAGGGGATGATCACTGGTCCGGAGTGCATAATTTCTGTTAAAGGTATCCTCTTGTCGTGCCATTCACACTGAATTTAGGTGTCCTATACACAGGCAGTATAAATGGCACGATATTCAAAATCGAGGACGGTGTGTTGAGTAAATTCGCTCAGTTGGGACCAGCTGGATGTTGTGAGTTGTTTCTCATTCCTTGCTGCTTTCATGTTCTTAAGTTATGTCGCGCTAAATTCACAGCTGCTTCCTTCCTTAGTCTCTATGGAAACCTGTGGTCGTCCACTTGGCCTTCATTACGACGAGACGAGAGATCGTATTTTGGTTGCCGATGCCTACTTGGGTCTCTTCGCTCTTGACCTTTCAACTGGTTAGTTTTTCTTCTTCATGACTCTATGTACTTGTATTAATTCGGTGGTTAGCATTTAATAGCACCTGCTAGTTGCTATTTCGTCAACATAAATCTTGGAGTTGCTTAATTTTATTCATTTCATTCGTTCGAAACGCGCAGATTGCAGTTTGATCGGTTTTCTCTGTACATTCGTTCTTTGAAAGCCAATCGTTGTTGCGCTTGTGTTGAGTCTTCATCAAGTAGAGCCTGCGATTGCTCATCTTCAAATTCTCAAGGCTGTCGGTCGCAGTTGATCACTACAATCGGAATCACCACGTCTAAAACGTTTGTACCAATATTCGAACGTTTTATGAGACAACATGAAAGCTGCGAATTGATTCCCGTTCTTTAGGAGAACCTTTTCCCTGTTGGAATTCGCATAAAATGCTTGTCATTCTGAAATCTTGTGTCCGGTCCTTTCAAAATCCCAAAAGACTGTGATGTTATTTCCGTTATAAATATAACTTTAAGCTCGAAGTAAAAAGTCATTCACCTAGCACTTAATTTCCGCCCATCAGACGTATCGACTATTGCGTTTCTACGTAGACCCTAGTGATATTTTGATCTTCCTATGCTGTTGCCGATGTACGTGGATGTGGCTTTACGAAATGCTGCCTTTTTCCAGGCAAACCAACTAAAATCTTTCCTCGCGATGGCTCGAAGGTGACCCTTTTCAACGCTCTGACTACATTGCCTGATGGTCGTATTGTGTTGTCGGAAAGCAGTCAAAAATTCCAGCTCAAAGAACTCATCTACGACTTCCTTGAGGGCAGACCCACCGGAAGGTGAGTGTATTTTTCGCTGTTAGGTCTTTAAAAGTGGCGCCGCGGCTGTACTTTCACGCCCATTTAAAGTTAAAAACATTAATCACAATGGTGCTTTTGTAATTGTCGGAATCTAATTTGTTTATGCCCTTGATATTTGCATGCAAACGCACTGACACCCCGGTTTATGACAACAAACTCGTGATTAGGCTTCGTGATCTGATTGATTCCATATTGCCACATACATCAGCTCCGATGAGCATTGTGCTGCTGCAACGGAAAGTTGACTTTAGAGAAACGTTTTTTTTACTTGCCATTGTTGTGGGCCCCAGCATGTGGTCTTGAACCACGCCGGGGCCACGGACTTAACCCTGGCCCGATTAAGCGTCTCGGATATCCGCGATGAAGAAGACCGGAGAGGACGTGGACACAACCGTTTACCTCAGAGTCCTACCACGTTGGTGTCGATGTGTCTTGTGTAGTGTTTGCGCGTGTGTATTTATAGCTCGGATGTGTGAGTCATAAATGCGCTAACATCGAGACCTAGGTGTGGGAATACTCCAAGATAAATTATTTGTATGAATGAGGTGGGAGTTGAGGGTCCGCGTGGCTAGCGACATGCTGTGAAAAGGGGAACCCTGTGTCGGAGGTGGATCGAGCGGATTAAGGGATGTGAATAAATACGATTCACAGCACCATCATCACCTAAACCTTTTCTGTAGACGTAACAGTGACACTGCAAATGCACCTGTAGAATTTCCATTCCTGCATTCTCTTAACAAACAGACTTCTCTTAATCGACCCTGACTCGGGTGAGTGGAAGGTGCTAGCCGATAACCTCTTTTTCGCTAACGGCGTCGTGCTGCACTCTGACGGGAATTCTGTGCTTGTCGCGGAAACCGGTAACACCACGATTCGGCGTGTTCCCCTCAACGGTGGCCCCTCCGAGGTGTTCACCGACCAGCTTCCTGGCATGCCCGACAACCTCAGCAAGTCGCCGCGTGGCGGATATTGGGTTTCTCTGGTCGTGTCACGACTTCCAGGCAAGACAAACTTTTACGTTGCGGTCGCCAAGTACCCCTGGATCCGCTACCTTTGTTACAAGGTACGCTCCCCTTTCTTGTCATAAATCAAGTTTGCGCCTTCGTTTTGAAGCAAACTGATAATAAGCGCGGTTTTCCTTGCAGTTTATTCCCCTGCGTTTGCTGCGGTCCTTCGCGAGTTTAAATAACCGTGGCTTAATAGTTAGAATTGATGACAGTGGCCAGATTGTGGAGTCGTTGTACGACCCCTCGGGGAATATCTTCAACGTGGCCGATGTTCTTGAGTTGGATGGTGTTCTCTGGCTGGGCAGCTACTACGCAAATTTTGTTGGCAAATTCGTACTCTAATTACGCACCTATCCTTGCTTCCTCGCAACGCTCGCAAAATTCACAGTATTGTATTCCTCTTTTTTATCTAGTCCTTCTTCTAAATTCTTTGTTACAAAAACCGCCTTTTTCATTTCAATAAACGTGCTTTGCTTTTGTATCTGGATTTTGACGCTTTCGTTTAAGCTTAGCTCCATGTCGTCTTAGGACTCCAGTAATATTTTTCAATAGAACTATTCTGGGATTTTCATGTAGGTTGTCCCGCTTTAATGCCGTGAGGCAACGACAGTAGTAGATCATTTGCGATCTTACTAATTATCTGCCTTATACTAGTCAAAAGGGCAATTAAAAATACCTAGTGGCTCGTAGACCCCTAAACGAGGCTGCTCGAGTGTCAGACAAATGTCGTTTATTCCTCAATAATGTACGCTCGGTAAGGCAAATGGACTGATTAATTAGGGTCGATTGTGTTGCCTACCAGAATGGTAGTTGAGACTCTAACGCCTACTGGATTTTAGTTACTGACCAAGCCATGGTACTTCTATGTGGGTGCTAAGCCTAGCAAATAATCACTCCATAATTGCAACTATAATAATTGTGTGCATTTTTCAAGAAACTACTGTAATGCGGCATACTTTCCTTTTTTAAAGTTAATTTGACGACTCAATTAATAAAATTAGCAATATAACGTTTATATGCCAATCTAAAATATCTCAACGCCTGTCCCAAGGATTATAGAGATTCACTTTTGTAAAATGTTATCTGCAAGCTTATTGCAAGATGAGTGCGTCAAAATTTGTTTGGGTTCTGATTGTTATTCAAAAATTCTAAGCAAATCAATAAACGTTCTTTTTCCTTCCCTTCACTAAAAATAGATTAAGTAGATCCCACTTATATTTGACTAGTTTAACCAACCGATCCATGTTAATACTGTCACCTTTAGACCATAGCCTCAATATTATTTTTTTTGGCAATGACTACTAAAATTTCCATTTTTCCAATAACCCAAAAATATTGCTAAAAATGTTCAAAAAGTTTACTTGTGGCAATTTATAAATTGGTAAAAAAATTTTTTAATGTTCTTAAAGAGTAATTGTTATGGTTTACTAAACTTTATCTACATAAAAGTAGTTTGGTCTATTCTCCTGTGCGTTTGTTTTAATCGCGGGAAATTGTCTCGTTTTTGGGGCCACATTTGAAATCATTGGCACGCAAGGATGATCATCTACAAGGATTTCCTTACTGGTGCGTATTTGTTCAGTTGTTTGTAGTTTTTTCGTTCTACTTGTCGTATAATGCAGTTTCTGGTTTTGTAGGTGATGAATTGTTTAGTGATGCCTTCCCTATTAAACGCGTAAATGAGTACATTTGGGAAGTTGAGGGCAAAACGATCCAAGTGAAGGAAGGAGTGGATGATGCTCTTATCGGTGCCAATCCTTCGGCTGAAGAAGGCGGAGACGCTTTCGACGAAGGCGTCACATCAGTGATCAACCTGGTCTATTCACACCAGCTGGAAGAGTTTGCTTTCAGCAGTAAGAAAGACTACTCCGGATGCCTCAAAGATTACCTCAAACGCGTCTCGAATCGTGTCGCTGAAAAGAATCCAGAAAAGAAAGCAGAATTTGAGTCTGCTGTACAGTCGTACTGGAAGGATAATGTCCTAAAAACCTTTTCGGAGTGGCGATTCTTTAGGCCTTCAAATTACGAGGCCGAGTGCCAATACTTTGTTCCTTGCAACTACCGAGAGGATGGTATAACTCCGTACTTTGTGTTTATTAGCAAAGGTCTTGATGAGGAGAAGTGCTAAATTCGTATCTCTTGTGTGTATTTGAATACAATGTCCTTGGCGTGATTTACGTGTGTGCTTATTTCCTGTTCTGGTGATCGACATGTGTCATCCGCAAAATGCTGTGTTATGGATTCCCCCTTGATTGTTGTGAGTTAGTTGTAGAGGTGCCTGCTGACGCCTAGACCGAGTCGGAGCTGGCTTCGGCTAATGTAATCTCTCGTTTCCGAAAAAGCGTGAATTTTAAGAAAAATCTATTGGGGTCATCCCATTTATAGACCTGATTTGAGCTCAAACTTCTCTCAACGTTCAGCTCCCCACAATCAACTTAGAGGTTCATGTTATGAATGCTTTCGCACAGGCTGCTGTCTCAACTAGCTTTTTTTTCTTAGTCTCAACAGTGAGTTTTTACCCTTTTGGACGTTGTTTGGTTTCTCTCACCACGAAAGGAAGCTGTTTTGTCTTATGATTAACGTAGATCCTATCATGTCGGAAGGCTATGACTGCGTACAGCTTCTGAGCCTGGTAGGCACTCATTTCGTGCAATCTACGTTTATTGATGGCGGAATTGTCTGGATAAAGGCTTCTCGTACTGTTCGCTCTTGCGAGTGCGGTTTTGGTTTAATCTGAACGATCTCAGAATTCTGGATGACTTAATTCGAGGTTGATTTTTGCGAGGCAGTAGCATAGTCTTAACCGCTCAAACTGCCGTAGCATAGGTAAATTGCGAGGTGAAGCCATTTCTTCACCAGGTCACCTAAATCGAGTTGGGTCGACAAGTAAGGATGATTAATTTCGATGTTGGCTTCCTAGTCGCATGATGGAATCCGTGTGATGTTATGGGTTGCCACCAGTGAGGTTATCAGGCTCAGTTTTCCTACATTCGCCAGCTGCTTTACATCATGCAGCTGTTTATTAGTTTGAAGTTGTTGGTACGGTTTAGGAAACCGGGAGGATGTCACAGTCGTCCAAATTGTTAGGTTACCCGGTTAGCGTAGCCAGAACGTGATTGGCTGTTCGTAAAAAGTTCGCAATTGGTTGATTATGCCGAGTACTTTCATCAGATTTGTCGAGGGTCGCTACTAAATTGGTTTAGGGATCGTTATTTTTTGTAGGGTGACGAATTTAGTCAATGGAAACTCGCTGTTGTACCATTCTTTGTTAGTTGTTATTGGGTATTTTGGCGTTATGAAAACGTTGCCCAGACAACGTGAACTATTGTGCAGGTCACGTAGTTCTAAGCTGTGCGCACGAAAACCGATCGTACTGATTAACCGTAAAATCGACCAGGTTTCGTTAATCGATTGTTCAACATTCAGTCGACACATTAGGACACAACATGCAACAAATCACATGATAATTTACGCGAAAATTTCCATACGAGATACCTCAATTCTGATTGGATGGTCCCGACCGCTAAATTTGAATTGGGAGCCAAGATCTTGTCGTCAGGCCTGTATTTAAATTATTTTTACCTTAGTTTACTAGAACTCGCCATGTGACTCACACCAAAAATAGCATAGAGTCTGAATTCTTCAGGCGTTACGTATGTAACCACAAACATCTGTTCTGCCTCGTCGCATAACCTTGTCCAATGAATCCCGTTTACTCCACCCACGAAGAGCAACCTTGCACGTTTTGATACTATTAGTTGAAAACGGGCGGCTGTGGTAATATTTGGTTGAGATTACTTGAAACCTAGTCATATGTACGTGCTTTTGCTGGTTTCAGCGGTTGTGAGCAGGTGGTATTAGCAGCACGCGTCAATTTCGTACCAACTGTTTGGTCAGCGCATTTGTAACGCATTAAGAACAGATTACCTGAATTAAAAACATCCATATTTTGCGTTCTAGAAACATTTTCGATGGTAAGCAAGCAATTCAGAACAAATCCCATTAGCTCGACTCTCGATTTTGCAAATGTATCTGTTTCCTAAACACACTAAAGAATTTTAATTGCTATCTGTGAATAAAAACATTGTCACGTGCGTACAAATGATAGGTTTAGAAAATCGATTTGCATAATCTGCCGCCGCCGAGGCAATCAATAAAGGATCGAGGAAATTATGAATCACAGATATCTCAGAATCCGTGTGTGGCTAACTTATTTTCATTAGTTTTGGAATCTCTTAGCATTACATTCACACATTTTTTTAGGTTTCCGTAACGCATAGAAGTTTTACACAAATGGCATCAATAACTGCCACTAATATTCACTTTTTGTCCGCTATCTGATAGCATTTACAAGGAGAAAACCGAAGATAATAGAGGCTCAACCGTGAATTTGATCGTCAAATCTTGGCATATAATTAGCCGTGTCATTTTATCATCTGCTGTGACTGTGGTTTTATCGATTTTCAACAAGAATCTGAGGGTGTTAGTTAGTCTGGTTCATGGCAAGAAGGTTCACAGGGGGTCGTGAATTGACAAGCCATGGCATAAGGCTTATCCGTTAAATTTGACCTTTGGAAAGAATTATAATTTAGCAAAAAAATGCAGGCACTTGAGAAATTTATGCTGGTGCTGTGATTCCATCAACACTATACCACAAACACCTTTACCACCTGTGATTTTGCCCTGTGCCCATAACGCACCATTCATCTGCTTTCGCATTGGTCGAGCTCTTGCTGATCTCCGATTGGTTGATTCAAAGTGCGCTGCAAACTCCGATAGTTACCATCACGGAACCAAGTAAACAGTCCACATTAAGTCAATATTTCGAAATATGGGGGTATAGTTGACTGTCTTCACACACTTGACCTCATGTCAGCCTAGTCGACGTTTTATCATTCTGAAGAGGGTACGGAGTAAAGGCAGAATTTCGCATCTGCTCTGACTGACCAACCATGCCACGCCCTAAAGCACCGGTGGAATGCACAGTCAATGAAATTTTACGCATCAAACAATAGATTTGTGTTAAAATTGACCAGATTGAGAATAAATAATATGTAAGTTGATTGCAAAAGACGAACATACATGCAATACAATGTTTCTAATCCAGTTTTGACAAACTGTTGTTTGACAAATGGGGAACATTAAATCTGAGGCCAATCTTTGCTTCGTGAAGTCAGCTTGTTGAAATTTAACATAGTGATCATTCGATACGCTTAAATGGCTGTCTGGATTCGATTAAGTTAATTTTGACGAAGTAGCATTTGTAGTGGGTATGAAAGAAGTCACCTTACGTTGGTAAATTTTGCAGAAACTCAAGACACGCGCCAAGAGAACCCATGTTCCATTGAAGTAACCGCGTTCCAAAAGTTAGCCTTCGAACAAGACGAGTTAATGTCTATCCAAATGAGCTAAAATGCGTACGTTTATACATAAAGTGACTGATGTTGACAATAATGTGTTGTGGCGCGGTTAGCACTACCAAGCAACCTCCTAGTTAACAGCTACGGGGGACACGACCGTTTATTAGCGTCACATGACAGCCGCCTGATAACTGTAACCAATGAAAAAGGGATGAATCAGTAAGGTCAGTAAACTGGGTTTACTCTGGCGCGATCGCTGCAGATGAATCCATAGAATTGCCATTGTTGGAGGTCACCTCTGCTGAACTAACAAAGTGTCTTCAGATGACTTCAGGTTTTCGTTCGAAGACAACTCTCTTTCGATTTTTTGTATCCCTAAACCTTCTAAAATGTCCACAGAATGCTTCGGGGTGGTAGTTTTGAATACCACTTTGTCATTCCTCAGTAAGAACAGAAATAATAATCGATTCGGCAAACGGAATCTATTGTGGCGACCAGTAAGCCAGCACACTTAGCATTCGTGAGCGAACGCAAATCAATCGATTTTACCTTGAATGTACCGTAGTGGACTGACAGCCACCGCACGTGAGTGCTGCGTGTATGCTTGCCCGACTGTATCAATGAGTCACCCTCTTTGTTATCGATTTTTGTTAGCAGTAGCCTGTAACCCACGCATACCGATACGCACACTGAAGTTAGTTACTACATTTAACTCGACTGGACTTGACTGGCGTGATGCGAATAAACAGTCGTTATCTCTTTCGACTCTGCCTTATCTCTTCTCGGATTGTGACCGGCTGTTATCTATAGGGTTTTTGAGGCAGTGTTAATTTAGGCCCCTGCACTATGATAAATTAATCAAGAGAAATAAAACTTCGATTCAGTTTTGCAGGTAACCGTTGTAGTGAGTCGCATTAACTCACAACGTGTCTGTGAGTCATGCGGGGCTGCCTGCTCAATAACTACGCTCACTAACCGTTTCGGTCATTTGGCCGTTCAGGTAGTTGTACTTGTACAAGCTCCCCCATTAGTCCTTCGACACCCTCGAAGATAGACTTCGGTTTGGCCCTCTGGTAAAAGGTCGTGTCTCCATGTCCGGTCTCCTCTCGTAGATACGTAGCGTTAACCGACCAACTTCAACGCAGCGTCCGCGGTGGTGTTGTGTTCACCATTTCAACAAATTGGTGACCCCATCATTGGACGTATCTATACCTTCTTCAACCTGCTAGTTGGCACAACTTATGTGGGGTGGCGATTCTGTGCCCAGGTCCCCTAGCGTAAAATCAAACTCTCTCGGCGTGCAACCGTTCCTCATCAACCACACCCGACTCCAGATCCCGATTCTGTATTCTCAATTAACTTGGCTGGTTTCATTACTTACCCCCATCTAGCTCAACCAGGTTTCGTCTATGGCCGACGCCTCTACTCAGAAGCTGTTTGGTCTCAAATCGACGAGCATCGGTTTCCAAAACCTCGTGGCGATGACCATGCGCTCTGAGTCAATCCTTCAATCTTTATTAGTTTAACTCCAGGCCCTAGATCTCTCTCCTGGCGCAGCCTCGACTCATCACTCCGTTATCGCCTTGATTCAATCTGTCCGTATCATTCAACTCTCGTCTCGCCCAATCTAACCTCAACCGACTCAAGCCGGCTTTGATTTTCGATTCTTACCTAGCACATCTTTCCGATCTAAAACTCAACCAGATCGAAAAGCCTCAAATACGTCGTGGCAACGATCACGCATTGCTCGCAACTGTTTTTATTGTCAACAGCTTCTTAGGTGAACATCGCGGGAACAAATGCGGGTGAAAGAAATGACTCAAACGCCGTTTGGTACTGAAATTGCATAAATTTTCCCTTATTCCAACATCGCCCGTTTTGCATTCAGCAAAGAACAGAACAGACAACAGCGCTGAAAGTGGTGTAACATGAATCCGAGGCGTGCTAACATGGATAACCTTCATGTGGGTGATAAATTCAGACAAAACCTACTGTTTTATTTCAACTAATCGCGTAACCTAAGTTAGTTTCTCAAAGCGAAGAACGTGCTGACAGAACACCAAGGTGGGAATCTGACAGAAGTTTTTGATTCTCACTTGTCAATCGCCTACGGCTTCCTCTGTTCTTAATGCATTCTTTCAAATCACCCAAGTTCGGATTGCACCGTGCCAACTCTGCAACGGCTCACGTTTGTTCATATGGCGGTGCTGTATGCGTGTTGGCAGTGCACCACATTGTAAACAAAACCACACAGATCAACGGGGTTTGATTTGGCAGTCGTCAAAATACGTTCTGAATAAAGATTCGTTAACAAAACATCCCAACTATTCGTGTCCGGGTACCACAACAGGCGAGTTTCAGGATATAGAGACAGGTCAATTAACACTGATTGATCATGCATTGAGTAGGATTGCATTCAGTAGCTGATTGACATCGAAGATAATCAAATTTTCACAAATACGACAGCGCTGTGGGTATTTTGGTAGGTTTCATTTCGTGTTGCAGATAGTTTAACTTGACGGCTGATAGATATAACTTCCGGCTGGCTTTAGAAGTAAATTGCACGGATTGAAAGAAATTTAAGCTCCACAACCAGTCAATGTTATTTAAAACAAGTAACTCACTGGCAATTTCGGATAAAAGATGCATTTTTATAACGCCATGCCGCTAAAACTATCGTTGTTCACATATCATCGAACCGCGGAAAATATGAATTTGCACCAAAGAGGTTCGTTCAATCACCGGTCTGGAGTTGGTTGTGTGAAAAATGCATTACTTTTGCAACATAATTTACAAGCCCGTGTGTGTCCGAAGTTTTGGCAATAATTACAGAATCGATTTTGCACTTAATCGACCTCTTAATTGAGTTTGAGTTAAACCTTCAGTTTCACTTTTATTTCATCCGATTTTAAAGTGAAGTTTCAAAATAATTCGAATTGAAGCTTCCTCTCAAAGTGGAGCAGGTGATCTGTGGTCATGTTTATATCGATTGAGAGATTTATGACTCAGCTTAGGCCTGAGAGTTCAATCTGAATTTCTATTGGTCAAGAGGACTGCAATCCCTATTGGCTACATGGTACGATTGGCAGACAGTACTACAATACACCGTCAAGGCGGCTGATTTTAACGACAATCCGATCTGTGTGACGTAAGCAAAATCGGTAGGAATCGGAAAGTGTTTTTCGAATTCGGAATCGTAACACCATGATGATCTCAAACAAAAACCGAAATTCGGTTTTTTTTATTTTTAACAATTAAACTAAGAAATTGTTAATTAACACTATTTCCACATCACGAGTTATGTTTTCTAAACACGTCAGCACTTAATTCGAGCATTTTGAGTTTGCTGTCACCTCCACTGAATAAACACAACACTGTCAGCATGAACTTGGACTTTAGTCTGGATTTCTATTGATCAAAAGGATATCCTACGGCTACCTTGTTCCATTAACTGATAGATTACTACAAAACACTGTCAGCCCGACTCGGTAGACTGGTCTTAAGCGACAATCAGACCAATGGCAAGTCTGGCAAATTGACCGCAAAGTTCTGATTGGCTCAGACGCAGATTACCAATAATTATGCTAGTACCGACAATTTGTCTAACCAATGAAAGGTCGAGCTTTACACCAGCGCTTTTTTACATTTACTCGATGACAAGATTGCCCCTCCCCCCAAAATATGCAGACAACAGAAATTCATCCACGAACAACAAATAATTCTATTCACACAATAATGCAGCTAACTGATCCAGGCCAAAGAAGTACACAGGCATATGTACATACGGGAAAAAGAGAGAGGTTAGGCTAAAATAGCACCACAAGGAATTTACAAAAGACCAAGGACGAGATGTTCACACTCGGGTGACAGCCGACGTGAACTCGGGATGAGGCCGGAAGGCGAAATTGAAGTGCTGGTGCGCCCCGCTCGACTCCTCAGTGACCTTGAAGGTAAACTTCTCATTGGTCGCACGATGACGCGTATCGTGACCAAGGTTGGTCTCCAGTGCGATCGTATAAGTGTCGCTAAAAAAGCAAGGAAGTCGAGCAGGTTAGAAGCCACCGCATTGGGGCATTGTGCTTCAGCGTGGCGAAACTCACCCCACAAGCTGTTCGATCTGTTTTCCGGTGAGCATAAAGAAGCGCGAGTCGGTGGCGAAGCTGTGTCGAATCACATGCCGGTTTGGCTGATTTACGGGGTACACGACGACGCTCAGTGACGGCAAGTACTCATCCGTAGTGTCCACGGTGGCGGTTATCTATGACAAGAAATGCAGATGAACTCGGGGTAGGGATTTCGAGGTGACACCTTCACCGCCACAACAAACGAGAGCAGCTATGAAGGAGACAGGCCATGAAGGATATCATACCATGCCCATTAGAACGCGGGGTTTGAGGTAGAAGTGCAGGCCGTGGACATCCTCGCGCGATGTTTTGACAATCGCCGCACTGGGAACGGACTGTGACACCCGCTGACCGATTGCATCGTCTCGACGTGTCGCCGTCACGGAGTAGGGACAACCTTTAACGACGCAAAAAGTGAAGTTGCAAGAGAGAGAGAAGATATCACAGCAATGGTACTTCGTGGATTCAGTGGCACTCTACCTGGAAGTAGTCCAAGCAGCTTGAACTGGCCATTCGCGCCTGTGGTTGCCTGTTCAACGGGAATGACTACACTGGAGTCCTTAGAGTGTCCACGACAAGCAGTCGACGAGTTTGAGTACTGCGAAGGGAATGTTGGACGACTACCAAGGGCGTTGGCAGCCTCAACGGACAGGAGTTTAGCTTCGATGACCACATCGGGCTCCGGATGGCCAGATAGGGAGGTGACCTATGCGAGAATGTACGAAAGCGCATAATCAATGAACAAATTCAACGATGACGCTGCGTAGTTCCACACACCGTTTACCTTGCCGAAAAGGGAGTAGGCGATTCTCCGGCCAATGAGGCCCACGCTCAAAGATCCACCGTCTACGACGCTTAACGCGTGTTCCATGAGCGCTCCAAGTTCAGTTCCACCGCTCTTCCTAACAAAGAACTCGTATTCCTTCAAAGTCGGTTGGATGTAGTATTCACCTAGGATGCAAGATTTTTTAACGCATTAAATCACAAGACGCGATTTGGTGAACGGAACACGATGTGCGACCGTTGCTAAGGCAAGTAACAAGTGCAGACACAGCTAGTTTAGGCACGCAATTGCTTGTTTAAATCAGCACTGGCGCAAAATTTGAACTGGCAGGGATCGATGGCAACGCAAACTTACCCGGAGGAAGACCGATGTATTGAACAAATCCACTGGCATCTGTTGTCTTGCTGTCGCGCAGTGTACTGCCGATAATGGAAATTAGGGTTCCTAAAACAAACACAAATCACATCTGCATTTTGATTGGTTATACGCAGAATCATTGGACAACACCACGCAACCGACGTACCTGGCAATGGCTGCAGCCCGTCTTCCGACACCGCGCGGATCTCGACAAGTGCCAGCTTCTGCGACGAGAAAGTCAACCAATCACCTGAGGCTTTCGGGTGGAACTCGAAACCGAGTTTGTGCAGGTGTAGGGTTAAGAGGGAGCCTGGCGTTGCCCCTGTGGGCTGCGGATTGAAGTAGAAGGGACCAATTCGGAAGACACCCTGGGGGTCAGTGAGGCCTCGGGAAACTAACGTCAGACCCGGGCTTGGTGGAGGAGCGTTCAATTGAGCTTCCGTGAAGGTGGCGACGTCTATTGCGTTGTTGGGGGGTGGAGCGGAGACAATAGACGCGTCTGCGTAGACATTCACGAGAACCTACCGTAGACAAGAGAGAAGTCACCGTGAAACACGACGGCGAGACACTACGAATTGCGGTAATTGCACGCGAAGCTACCTTGTCCACTGGGGGATCGACTTTGCCCGTGAAAGTGAATCCCGGTTTCATGGAGAATCGGGCAGTGAGATGCTCGGAGCCACCGAAGGCTGCGGCCAGCGCGGCATCACAGTTTGTTTCGTCCGGCTTGGACGAGGTGGGGCTGGCCGACGATTCAGCACTCTGGTAAGTCGACTGATCCAGGCGTTGCAGAGCCAGAGGTACACGGAGTGTGAATGTGGGTGGCAGGATGAGAGGGTGGATGGCAGCGTCGCCGTCCGACGAGGATTCTGTGGAAGCCACAGAAAAGACAACTTCGTCGCCAGGTGCTGCCCACAGCCCTGCTCGAGCTACGTGAAGATCACCCTCCGTTTGCCAGCTGAAAGTTGAGTGTGGAAGGCAGGGTTAGAAGACTTCGTCAGCCTGATTATTCTACTTTAGGTGTCATCAACACGCACGCCGTTCACACGCGTGAAAACCGAGAAAGCTACTCAGACGTGCCTTCCATGCTAAAAATAACTCACGTGGCAGACAGATTTGTGACGGCATCAGAAATGCGAGCTTGCACGAGGAGTTGGGGTAACCTTATGCCACCAGTAAACCCTCCAAATCGTTCAACGATCGCTTGCACGGGAACCTCTCGGACAGGAATGCTGATTGTGGTCGGGGCGCCAGCAATGGTGATTTCTGAGGCGGCCGACTGAATGGATCTGGGTGACGGAGCACCAAGGTGAAGGCACGGAGCAGTCGCTTCAAAGACCAGTGACTGAGAATCGGCAGGAAGGCATATCTGTGACGATAAAATGAACAACTCGCTAAGAGGTCACAAGAGGCTGCAGAAATGGCCAGAGGAAAGGCCGGTGGCTCACTGTAGAGAGGGGTTTAGTGAGTTGATAGAAGGAGGCCTTGCTAGTTGCTAAGGTGACATTCGTTGTGCCCGATGACATAACCTTGAATTCAATGGACTTTCCAAAACCCGTATCCAGTAGCGGCGCCTCCACGTGGAGTCTGTAACCAGTCTGTCGAAAGACTAACTCGGGGCTTTGGTGGAGATCACGATCGATGATGGTGAAACGACGACGAAGACCCGGCGACGCCCAACACCAACCGCTAGCGGGTCGCATCTCATCACTGACAACCAATTCGAGACTGTACGTTCCAGGGAGGAGCGAGGTGAATGAGAACGTCGCCCGTCCAGCGTCTTGCTAAAAAAAAGGCGAATTGACGACATTACCAACTAACCTATCTGGTCGTAAATTCAACACGATGACACAACTCACCTCGACAGCCTTGACGTGAGCTAGGAGTGGTGGTTCGAGTGCATCTTTGGAAGAAAGTCGTACGGCCAATTGCGAGACAGGGCATTTGTGCGCGCACAACACCTCGCCGACTGCTGAGGCTTGAAATTGTGTGAAAACCAAGTCCTTTACTGGTCCAGAGGATAGGTCCACCTAGGAGAACAACAGACCGACAGCCAGATGTGGGGAAAGGAAGGATAATAATGCCAGACGAAAACGTTAAAAAATGGTACAACATACGTTCAAAGTGGCTGGCGTGAATTTGACAGAGGTGGACGACTTGGCTAAGCGGAGAACGTGTTTTCCGGGACTGAGGAAGAAGCAAAATGTGGCAGACTTGCCATCCTTGGAGATGGCAGCTTCAACCGAGGGGCCGGTTGTTACCTCAACGGTAGGCAGACGAGCCTGCAAGGAAACTTAGCACTTGAATTGTCGGTGTCTCACTCAAACACCGCTTTAATAGCAACGAACAGGGGAGAGCTTACGTTTGGTTTTAAGCCGCTAGGCATGAGGAATCGACCGCAGACTTCAACCTCTTTTGGAATGAATGTGGGTAAAGTCACCGTGGCGAGTGTTAGAGGTACTTTGACTGGGTTGAACTTCATCCTGGGTGTACTAATCTAAAAATAAGGCCAATAAACACGCCCAGGGTTGCAACACAAAAACGTACTTGAAGTGTGTAGTCACTGGGAGCAGAAACGTCTAACTGGAAAGCACCGCTTGAGTCGGTTTTAGTTACAGAGGTTCCGCCGACTAAAACCTAGGAGGAGGCACATTTCGGTGACTTTGGAGAGAAAAACGGTAAGAATAGGACAGCAGGTGTTCAGATTACCTCGGCATTCGGGATTGGAGTTCCTGAGGCGTGTTTAACACCCCCACCGACAACTCTGAAACTATCCACCACAAAACCGGGATCAAGTTGGCGATCAACGTGCTCCATGTTTACAGACAAAAAGGAGGGGCTTATTGTCAAGTGTTTAGATTGAATTCCAAGGGAGGAGTCGTGATAGGCCACCAAAAAGTACTGACCACCAGCCAATCGCGAGAAAGCGAAGGAGCCATCAGCAGAGCTAACGACCTAGACGATACAGTTTGTCACACGTTTTGAACGCAATGAATACCTGACATGCCACTTTCGGATTAACTTTACCCTCCAGGTCTGCAGGAACTACATGATCAGGAAGCTTCGAGGGCTTTGAACAACCGAATTTCTCAAGGTCAGTTACGGTTAATTCGCTCGATGATGGGACTAAGAGCAGGACAGGAATGTTTGCAATCCCTTTACCGTTAAATGTCACCTTGGAGCGTAGTGAATGACCCTAGAACAGGGAGGTAAAAAAGGAATGACAGAAAGGCACCTGAAGCACAAGAGGAGTTGCGATTTTTAAGCTAGAAGTTGAGACAGTAATGCTTGCGCTGGCGCGTGCATCATTTAATCCGCCAGCTGAGACGTGATCGCCAACCACGACGACATAATTGCCGGGCGGCACTGATGACAGCGTAAAGGCACCATCAGCCGCGGTTTTGGTTTGCACAAGGACAGTGTTGCCGGAGAAAATTGAGACGATAAGATCGGGAGGTCCAGTGGTCATTCCAGTAGTGACAACTTGCCCGCTAACATCAAAGCCAGCGAGCTCAAATACGTAGTTCATGCGGTTTCGTTGATCGTCAACATTTAAGTCGATTTCGTGGCCTCCAATTGGAAGGAAATTCCATCCTTGAGGTGCGGAAAGGCGAAGGCGATATCTGCCCTTACTAGTGACAACAACGGAATAGGCTCCATTGGGTAATACGGGCACAACTTGGCGAAGCGTTTCGTCAGGGATGCTATAGACGTGGACTTTGAGTTGAGAAACGAAATCTTTCACTGAGGCGTCCGAATTGTGCCACTTTATACTACCACCGAAAACCAAGAAGTCGTGTACGCTGGCGTCCTGAGCACTAACAATGGCGCTATATGTAAGCAGGGCACTGACAAGGAATGCGGAAACGGCCATTTCACAATGGACGTATCTATAAAAATAAATTGGAAAATTTGATCAAAACTGATGTGAAAAAAAGGTAAACAAGCAAGATTCAAACTGATAATGTACACAAAGTGCCAATAAGTAGGTAAACTAAGAGAAAGTGTTAGAAGATCAACAATCAAGAATCTAAAGGAGGAAGGTAGGGGACACAATACAAACGCTACACCATAAATATCAGCTTCAGAAATACTCAAGGAAAGAAGATATACGTATACACAATGATTTCATCGCTATATAAAGCACAAACTAACGTTAAAACAACCACGCCCTGAACCCACGCTAGATTGGCGGGTGACAGTGGTATTAACGTGGCGGAAATGTTAGCTTTTAACAAATACGTTGGATAGAACACGATTGATTTGCTTATGATATGTATTATTTTTATAAGGGTTGAACCATAGAAAGCTTGAGACGATAGGTGACTGTAAGTATAAAACCTATGAACTACTTGACACAACAAGACTATCTTTGAAAGCGAATGTAACGTTGACTACCGAAAACATTGTAGTGGGATGATGGATAAAAATAACATAATAGGGTAAAGATGAGACTACTGACCAATAATAGAGTAAAGATGGTCTGATTTTGGTTGCATTAAGTTGAGTTAATCTTAATTGATAATTTAGGTGAAAAATATATTGTGCTTTTTTTTAAATTAAGATAACTAACTTTTCCTGTGTTTTGCAATTACCAGTTGCAGATTATCCACTGGTCTTAATTGTATAACAAATTTTTAGGAAAAACTTCTTTTATTTAACGAGAATAACCGCTGTTCATAACCAGTGATGTTGGAGCATGACACGAATCTCTGCGTCACAAAATAATATAGAAAAATTTTAATTTTGCGTGTTTATATAACTAAGACATTACAGATTTTTATGCCTACAATTTCGTCAGACTCATTTCTATTTGCATATTGTAATTAGTTAGAAATCTTAAATAAACGTACTGCCCAAATGAAGCTGAAGCATTGACATTGCATTAAATTTGTAGGGGCATGACTCAATTTGTACTAACTTTTTTTCATTTGTGCATAGAATTATACTTCACATGGAAATGCGTTCACAGTCGTTTGTGGTTTTGAAGAGATTGTACGCAACTTAGAAAATGCCAAACGATAAGTAAACGTAACTTGCATTACCGATCAGAATAGAAGAGTGCACGATGGCAACTGTCAAACACCACATTCGATGGAGTTACATTTTATTTGAATTCCAAAAAAGAGAACAATAATTCCAAAGCACGGGTATTAATTATCTTTGTTCTTAGTGCCAATGTTACGCATTATTAACGTGCAATAATTGGTGCAAACGTTTAAGAATAGGTGATTTCGACCTTAGTAATCAGCCGTTCGCCGAATTGCAGATTCAAGAGTGTGAAGATGCGGAATTGCATGCTCTGCGGGAGAAGGACTCAACGCAAATGCAGCAACAGCTTGCATCTGAGTTAGGAGTCATTCAATCAGCTATTTCCAAGGAATTTCACCATATAAAAAACTCGAACACTTGGAATTTGGGTCCCACACTTTTGACTAAAAGCAACCTATGTCGACGTATTCACAGCTTTCCGAGAGCAAAAAAAGAACTCTATGTGGAAAATTACTGTACAAATTGCGACAAGCACCTAAAATCATTGAACAAATGTGTGTAAAAACTAAATAGGCAGCAGTTAATATTTTTTCCCCTATCACTAGTATTGGTTGAAAGGAACAATAGAGAAATTTCATTTTTGGGGTGAAGGTGATGTGAAACCAATGTCCTTTTGCAGGTTGCCAAACTTCAACTGCCGAAATTGACGGATGTTTTACCGGACCAAACGGACTCCACCTCTTCCAAAAGCAGCCGTCAAAGTGTTGGGGATCCCGGCGTTCCCCAAGATGGCTCATCACCGTTTTCGTCGTTGTTCACACTAATCTCCTAACCACGCCACACCAACGGGTGAGTCACCCACGGCATCCTACCGACAATCACATCCATGTTGGTCCGCTTTCATCCATCAGGTCATTCTGACATTTACATTCAGACAGATCACACACACACACACACTGTCTGACGCAATCAAGGCTCTCCGCACGATGTCGGTCATTTTCTCGCATTAGCGTGAGAAGGTCGGTTTTAGCGTCAACAAGGGATCTGGTGCCGTTAACTGAGTGGCTTTCTCTTGGTCATGGGCAAAAGTAACACAAAGAAGACTTTAAGAGACGCATGTCTACATCGACCCAACGAGGACGCATTTCTCGTTTCACATGTATGTGCAAATCGCGTTCGAGTGAATCTGGTCAAGGTCACGCGAGTAAGAATTCCGGTTTGCGGTAGGGAAACTAGTTATTTGTTACCTGAGGGCGTTTGCTACCAAATCGCATTCGTAACCCAAAGTCGTGTGATAAAATGGACAATATCTCGTCGACGGAGGAAAGATTTGGCAATCCAGGAATGAACCGTCGCTATGGCGATTATTATTCTACAATCGGTCGACCCTTGGACACAATGGAGTTTGTTGCTGCAAACGGACCCAATCAGCTGATATTCCGACGGGTAATAGAACCAAAATTAGGAACAAATAATTTGCTCTCTTTTTCTTTACAGAAATGCCACTAAATATACAAAAGTAGAGTGAGTGAAAGAGCGAGCTACTTAATGAGGTCGGAGAATCGCTCAGTAAAGGCCAGGAACGAGAGCTGGTCTGCGAGCAGTTGACCCGAGGTGTCAGCAGTTTCACCAGCGAGAGGAGAGTCACGCACCAGTTTGGACAGTGGCAGGGGGTTCTTGACGGGCGTCTCGACAGCGGACATCTTGCCACTACTCAAGGAGCTGCGTCGTCCACGAACCCTCATGCTTCGACGAGAAGAACGACCCAAAAAGTTGTAGGACTGCTAAAAATAAACAAAGGGTGACAGACCGTGTCAGCCACACACACACACCACACTTACGAATTCAACCGCCAGACCCCACGAAACGGTGTGCTTGTCGGATGGATCGATGCGCGGATTCATCAGCCAAATCGTTGCCTGCGCGTAGATGAGGGAAAAGGCCAATTCATTCAGCTCCACCAGCAAAGACCTAGAGCAGCAAGGATTTCCGCGTAAAAACGCAGAATTACGCAACAAAACAAACAACATCAACACAAACAAACTTACAGAAACTCGGCACGCCGCGAAGCGCACGGATCCGTAGCCGCAGGCCTGAACTGATGGTGCTGCAGAAGAGACGGACCATTAAACTCGCAAATCACCCCAAGGGTGACGAATCAAAGTGCAACTCACATTCACAATCAGCTGACTGGTGGAACGTGCAATCGAGAAGAGCGTGCCGAAGGTCAACGCGTTGGAAGATTCTACCGAGGGAGGCGCGAAGTTGAGCACGGTCACTGGAGTCATTGCGGCGATTTCCGAAGCCTGACAATGACAAAAATGTGATCTCAGGAGGCATTGAGATACACCGAAATCGATTCGAGGTGCACCACGACAAAAACTCACCGATGCAAAGGAGAGATCGCCAAGCGAGGGGGTTTGTACAATGAGAAGGCGGAGACAACTGTTGAGTAGTTTAATCACTGGAAGCAGGTTCAAGTCAAGAGAAGCCCGCGATTCACCCTTGAATGGTCTGGTCTCGACTGAGTTTGCGGTACCCTGCTTTGTCGAGGTCGTGGACGTTGTGGTGGTGGTGGAGGATGGTAGGTCGGGAAAGCCGGGGCGAAGAAGGAGGATCGTCGTGTAGTGCTGCGTCAGTTGGACGATCGCGTTGAACACAGACGTCCAGACGTCGGCTGGAAGGTCGATCGACGCACCCATTGGCTGTTCCGAGGTGCAAGTAAAGCATGACTCAAATAACACTACCTCAGGACGGTGAACGTGGATGACATCTAGTGCATTCTCAAGACTACAATTAGGCGTTTGAGTTGACCTACACACATTCCTCGACAATTACGTGACCGATTTGACCTCTAGGAGTTATCCTAATTGGACGAAACCTGCACTTTTAAATAAAACAGCCTTGAAGGGATCCTAAAATGAACCTCCTAAACGCCAGTCTACATTATCAAGTGCCAGTCGACCTGCAGCGCAAACTCACAGGCAGAAGACGATCGACTCTACAGCTGGGACGACCGTCGGCAAACAGCGTCACGGAAGCTACACACTTGCAAGAAATGAGGGAAGTCGCTGCGGTGGAGGAGTGCATTGCGAACCAGTAAAGGTCGAGCACAGCGGCAATTAGAAGGAGCGCCATTGACGGACGCGCAGAGCCGACATCGTTCACAGCCGCGGCGGCGGTAGCTGCGGCAGAAGTAGTGGACGAAGGCAGAGCGAGGAGAGCGGAGAGTTGATCGTGGTTTTCGAGGAGGAAGGAGGAGAGAAGGGAGCCGAGTGGACCAGCCTCGCACGCGCCACCCAGTTGCGCACACAGCAGACTGATCAGACGCAGTTCGCTCAGCACCAACTCGTGCCAGGGCCCGTTTGCGGCGCCTTCACTGGACGCCGCCTCCTAGACAAGACCGAGGGTTCAGCGTTAGGAATTAACAAGCGCACGGTTCGGCAGAGCCACCTTCCACAACTCACCGCCGATTCACACGCTTCCTCTTGAGCCAACCACACCATCAGCTTGTCGGTGGGAGGTAAACGCAGGCCTCTAATGAGAACGTCGGCGTACGAGGCGACAAGCTCAGCCAGGGCGCGCGGCAGACACTCACGCGACGACTCCACGCCTTCCCCAGACGACTGCGAAAGATCAGAGGTACCTGGTGCAGCGGTAGGGGGCAGGAGGACGCGAAGCAAGAGGCGCACGATTGCTTGACAGAATTCAGCTCCGTCGAACTTCTACAAAGCACCAATCATTTCTACCGGAAATGGGGAAGGCTAATCTTCCCTACAATCCATCGTCCATCCTAATTCTCTTCTTTCTCTCTTTCTAAACTACTTCTACGCAGTTTCCAAGGAAGTAACCGATGGTTGGTGGCAGTAGTCGCTGAATCAACGATGCGACCCAGCAACCAATCAGATTCGAGGAAATTGCTATCGCACCAATCAGCGTTCAGTAGTTTAGCGTTGGTATCTCCACACAGATGGGTTTTCAACTTCGTAGCATCAAATATCAACAGAACTGTACACAACGCCAGTGCAACGTCAGTTTTTCTCACCGTTGAGCATTCGTTGAAGACAACAAGTAAGTTGTTGAGAATTCCAGAGTTCACCAGAAGAGTGGCAAGGTGCAGCGAATCGAAGTTAGACCAAATGCTCCCCAGCACATTCATGGCTTGGATGAAGACCTAGGGAAGACAGAGAACGAGGTAGCAAGAACTCGTAATTGCAGCAGACAAACATGCACTAATGCGTCTCCAGCCTTATAACACCATTCGCCAACTTCTTCACCTCAAATCTCATGAGCAAATTTGTTCACACGTGTTAATTTAGGAAACATGTCAGTAAGGATCTGGAATTTGTGGACACCGATTTCGGACAGATGACAGTTGCACTAGACTGACTTGACTTTCGACAGGGGCAACGCGAGAAAGCGCGGCAACGTCGCGCACAATCTCGAGGCAGAGATTCAAGAGGCGCTCGTGTAGATCCGCGGTTTCGTGGGGAGGCAGCAGACGCGGAAGCAGGAGACAGACCAAAGCGAGGAGGTCGGCGTGGTGGTAGGAGTAGAGCGGGGCAGACGGCTTGGCGGTCGGCGACGCCTCAACACCCGTCTCCAGCTCCAGCAGAGACACTACTCGGTTCAACCACGTGATCAACTGCGCCGTCGACTCTGCGCATCTGCAACACACGAAAGACACGCACCAACACACACACACACAGTAAGAAGAACTGCAAACCCACAGTCGCCGGTATCGCCAAAAGAAGGGAAATTAACTTTAGCAGATGGTTTGCTGACGCCGCCAGACAAATTGCCAGCACATTCATGGCTTGGATAAAGACCTAAGGAAGTAAGAGAACGAAGTAACAAAAACTCGTAATTGCAGCAGACAAACATACAATTATGGGATATAGTTTAGTAAGGAGAATCAAAATGACCGCTCGCTTCACTTCACAAAAGTTTCAAATGACCATCCCAATGTCCTCTTTCAATCGGATTGTTATGCAACATCGGGAGGCTACTGCATCACACGTCGCAATTAAATTCCAACTAACATGGCTGTGGATCGTATGATCGCTTGATTTTGGAAGAAATCTACGGAACACAACCAGTCGATCTGCAACGAATCAACATTGTCCTTGAGATGTGAACCAGATGCCACAACACCAATGCTTCAAAGCTATCGTGATCCAAACACAGACCATGCCGGAAGGTTCTAGATTACAACGAAACGCATGACGCTGTCAATCGGTCAGTGCAATCACGCAGATGACGCGTAATTTGAATGGCTTCCAAGGAACTACACAATCACCCTCAGTGTCTACTCTCAGCTACTACGAAAGCAGGAAGAAGCGACTACAGAAGGGAAAGTAGCAAAGGCACACGGTTGTACACGACGAATGTAAGGCCCCACGGATAAACCCGAATTTGGCTCATACCACTGTCGATTGGTTGAAATGAGTATCAGGAATTCGTCAAGACTTGGATCCTGCTCTTCGCAGTTAACTAACGGTCATTATTTAGTGACGTAATTTTCACACTGCACCAACGGTATTTTATGTTATATGGGCGCTTTAGTGATGGCAAATCAATTAATTTATCCCTTCGCCTGACGACAAACAAAATTAAAATTGTCATCGTAATTTTATCATTTGAGAAAAGCATTCGAATGGTGTTAAAATCCTTTCAACGTGTGTATGAGCACCTGCAACTGTTATCGTACAATGTTTCTTTTAGCTTGCTGACCAATTAGAGTTCGCTTCCACCATGAACCAATTAACGCCGAGAATATGATAAAGAGGCCAATCGCTTGCGTCAACGAGCATCTGCCAATGAGTGAGAAGCTACGGGATCACCCTTGTTGCATGCTTAATTGCTCATGCCCCAAACGTTTTGTGGAAGTAACTAACTACTCGTATTTGATTTGTTGAGAATCCAGTTTTATTGTTTGTCGTGTTAAATCAAACAACATTTGGATAATATATAATCGAATTCGTCATCTTAGTTAGAAGTCGTTTTATCGCCAACTGGTTACTACGTTGTTGCATTTACCTTGGATTTGTTACTTTGATGTCCCTACAACCAGGAAATATCAATGTGCAAACAGAGCCCAACAGCACAACTCAAATATGTGCGCATTTGTCCTTTTCTCTCATAATTGAAATAAACTGTGTACTGTTGTGTTTTCAGTAGCAAGATAACAGGGTAATGATTAGGTGAGGGGTCAGTAGAGGCGTTTAACACGGTAGCTTGTGCGTTGCTCTGGCGAGTGGTGACTAGCGGGGGGTAGGCTGTACTTGCGCTGTTGAATATCCGACAGGGGTCTCATCGTGGACTGAGCACCGTTCATCGTCTCCTCCCCTCCGGCTACCGGTTGGGTCCATGGATCTGTGGTGAAATGTTGGCCGCAACAGTGACCACAAGGAGCCATTATCATTGGCTGGTGGTAGCTGTGGTGCTGGTGCATTGAAGCAGACGCTGCCTGACTGGTTGGTTCTGTTTGTGCGGTTGTCGTGGCCAATTTCGGTTGGTCGCAAAAGCAATTAGGTCCACATGTGGACTTTGTTGGCGGCGGCATCATAAAGTCGCTTGGCAACTCCATAACGTGCTGGACGGGCTTCTTCCGTTGAGACCAGTTGCTGTATTCCGTGATTGGAGGCTTCTTTGACTCCTGACTGCTGTACTGTTTCCATGTGGAGCACTTTGTGGGTTTCTGTTGCTGTGTTGTAGGCACGGATTGTGGAGTTGCCCAGCTGTCACCCTCGGGAAACGAGAATGCGCCTAAAAATATTACTACTAATTACCATTTAGGCAGCGTTTATTTTTCATAAAACTGCTGAATTTTTAACTTGCCGTGGCGTTGCAGATCAGCCCAAGTGAGAGGTGGTCCTAGAAAAATTAGAAAATAGCTTATTGTAACAAAAAAACAATTGCTGAATTCTTCATGGGCATTTATTTCAGTCTAGTGCATTGAAAGGTTTAAAAATTGCGCAATTTTGGCGCTCTGAGATTGGTGGAAATTCGGACCATTTAAAATGCCTGATTCGAAAACCTGCATCAAATATTAGCAAAAAATTGCGCAGTGTCTCATTGAACGCCAGCAAATAATTTGTCAGATTCGCTATCGTCGTAAAAGTCACCAACACTCACCTTCTCCGACCTTGACAATTTCCACGCTTCCGCCGCCTGTCATTGGTGGACAGCAGCAATGTTGCTGAGTGATTTGATTGGGCGGAAGATGCTGCTGTTGATGACTCTAGCGACAGATGATGGAGAGGCAAATGGAAGTGTTTTGGTAACATTTTGACATGTCTTAATACAAAGAAATGTTGATACCACTGCTGAATTAGCTTAAGTATATGTATTTTATAAATGTTGGAGGAAGGGAAAAGTGGTCGTTTGAGGCGGATTCACAGAAGTTGCATCATCTGTCACGTGATTTTTTTAGCAATTTTTTACCTCAGAATCTTTGAAACTCGGGAAACCAGAACACTGACAGTCCCCCTTCCATGATGGTGCACCTGACGCCGTCGCCGCATTCACGCGTCTGCCACCGTTGAGGTTTTCTGATCGGTATGTTGATATCTTCAAAAAACACGCTTTCAATTAAAACTGTGTTACTGATTGCTAATTAGTAGATAGGATTTTATCGATGTTTTTAAAATCATCTGCCTTCAAGCAAGTCGACTGAGCTGTTTTTTCAGTCGCCCATGAACCAACTGATATTTTGTTCGATAACAACAATTCCACTTGGTTTGTTTTTTTGACAGTTGCTTTAAATTTAATTGTAAATACGTGTTTCCTACTGGTTGAAATGCACATATATTCAAGCCTACTGCCATTCGTGAGCCAATATCTATCGAACGAGCTAAAGTAGGCATCCATCTGCTAGATTTACAATGTTTTATGCGAAAACAGAAAAAAAATACTCACAGGAGGCTTCGTCTCAGGAAACGAGAACACCTGTGGTGGTGCCTTTACAGTGGAATCCGTCACTCCTCCACCCAATTTCTGACCTCTGCTCCCACTGCTTGTCGTCGGATTGGCCGACTGGTGAACTCCACAGTGTCCACAAAAGCACGCCGGTTGTCCAAAAATCGATCTGCTCGATCAGAAGAGAGACAATCAATGGTAGAAACCAGAATTGTGTAGCTTTCCAAAAATCGATAAATTTGAATTTAGAAGTGGTGAACAAAGACGGTGGCTTACTCTAAATTGGCGGGGGCGAATTCACGATTGGCGTTGTCAACTCTGGCGTGCATTCTACCTTGAAAAATAAGCCCGATTCGCGTGGCACGCAGTTTTTATGTGTTGGTGGTTGGCGGTGTCCTGAGGTGGCGTTGGTGCGCAGTTGACCCCTTCACTGCGTTTTGTCTGAGACTCGCACGCGTCTACCAAGTGGACTTTCATTTTGTTGAAAACGCAGTTCTGCGGAACAAAGTGCCTTGTGAGCCGCCATTGGGCTGTTTTCTGGGCTCACGACCTCTCATTGGTTAGTGCGTAGTCCAATCAGGTTCGAAGGCTAAGGAGTACGATGTTAGTGCACTCTAGCCCAATGCTGTTAGACACTACTTTCCGGAATGATTTGATGACTTCTGTACCGCGAGAAGGAGTACTGATATTTGCGTAGATTGCTTAACAGCCGACCTAAATCAGTATATGTTTACAAATTAAACTCGATTTTGGCTAGGTGGGTGTGTGCCTTTCCCAAAAACGATTTCAATGTCGTCATTGTTGTTGGATCTGTTGGATTCCTGAATTCCTCGCAATCAGTTGGTTAACAGGCGCAAACATGTGTACACGATACTCCGTTTCTATGGTTACCGAATGGCTCAGTTACCAATAAAAAGGTTGTTACAGTTACCCATAACTGTTTAAAATTTTGCCAACTCCAAACCACGTAAATGGTAATAAAAGTAAATTTTTAATCAAAAATCGATGCATGATATCGACAAATTCGAACACCTTATGGAACCTGGTACGCAACCAGAAATTGGGGAATAGAAACTCGTGGTCTCTGAGATAAGTCGATTATCACCTAAGAAAAACCGATCACAAATGCCGAGTCACAAAAAAATCTGTATCTGCAAGTGTCATTCTAATAAAAATGCATGTGACCTTGAAATGTGTTTTAATTAACCAACATTGATTGAAGCTATTTGAAGCACGATATAACGAAATTTGAATTTCACAATGCAATTTTAACAAATCGTTTTCGTCAACTAAAATGACCTTTACAAAAACGTTAATGAAAATATTTTATCCGATGAATGTAGTTCGTGTGAGGCAGTAAAAAAATTTCACTTGCGCAGTGGACTGCGCTGTTAATCGACGCGAAATATAAACATAGTGACCTCACAGGACACTGCGTACATTTTTGTTTTTTTGAATTCGCCTCGCGTACTTTCAAAGACTAGAATTAAACAAGAGTTTAGGCAGGTTATAAAAGTGATTATAAAGTTAAACACTGAACAACCTTAAGCCAACTTCTATCTGTCAAGAATGTAATCATTTACTGTGAAAAATTTAGATCACGCGCCAAGCATCATTCTGAGCCTACATCATTCAAAGTTTCTGCTACTTATTTTACGTAAGTAGCAGTATTTGCTGAATTACGTCTTTGATATTACAAACCGGCAATATCATAGTAACGTCGCATCCATGATAGTACAAAAAAGCAACTAGTCGAATAGTTGTACCCACACCTTATCCCAAACACAACGTTTTCACTCAAACGTCCTTGAAAGAGCTGATAGTGTGGTGGTCGCAGGTGTTGTGAAGCCATGGCAACCACGAACCAATTGTGTTTCTCACGAAATCGAGCTTGAGAGAGTACTTGCCGGCTCACTCATACAGGTTATATTTCTTTGTGCTGAAAAGACTCGAATCGAGTTACCACTTGAGAGCGTGGAAATCCGCAACATCATAAAAAATTTGCAGGAGCACAAAATTAAACAAAAAAATTCAATTAATTAGTAAGCCCATATAAACCAGTCCAGCAAATTGCCGCGTCGTGATGAGGCTGAGAGCAGTCGCAGACGTTGAACTTCCACTGCGGCCTAGATAAGTCGTGTTCTCATTGCCTGGTTGTCCTCCTCGTATAAAACCAGGTTAAGTAAAATGTGAAGCAAAGTGCCTCACTAACTCCTTCCTACAGTCAGGTCGCTTTGCTCCTTGACAATACCATGTGATTCCTCTTCGACATAGTCGTCTGTGATCACTTCTGCGGAGTCATTTTTGCCATTCAAATTACTTTGCAGACATCAAGGCGCCTTGTCAGCTGTGAATAGCCAGGGTCAAAGGAATGTTGGAAACGCCGAGAGACTTACTGATTGAACTGGTCAAGTGTTTGGAGTGCGTGGCGGGTGACATGCGGTGTAGCGTTGTCATGGTGATGGATGACGCTTTGCTTTCATTTGTTGTTTGGTGAGTTGAGCACTGGACATTTCAAGACCTAGTGTCTTGTCACGAGGACACTGCTAACACAAGATTGCCTTGCAGTCTTCCCACCAGTAATGTTGCAACGTTTTAAGCAGTTGATGCGTTTTGTAAAGCCATGTAATTTCGAATTGCATCCCAAATGCTTAAAACATCGTAAGTTACAATCGACTCAACCACATGTTAGTTGTGCTAAGCTCAGGACCTAAGCACACGTTCACATCTTGAA